AGATCATAGGCGAGAACCAATCAAAATGCGAGAATTACTTGGGTTATTATATAATCTGTGATAGATAGTGTGTAGCGTAGCAGTGTGCCCTTGTTAACAAAATGACGGCCGCTTCTTAGCGTTTACGAAGTGTCTGTGAACAGGATTTAGATAAAGTTTTGACCGACTAGTAGATTTATGCTAAAACAATTAGATTATTCGCTCTCGATTTCTATGCGTGATACTGCTATCACGCGATAGAAATCTCGAGCTCATAATCTAATTGTTTAATAGAGACACGAATGGAAGTTTGGGAGAACGAGAAATCCTGTGCCGTAGGCGAGTGTTTCTACAGCTTTTTCTCCCAAACTTTCACGAGTGTTTCTATAACTCGATAGAAACATGGAGAACATGTTTTCTAATTCTTTTAGAAAATACCGCGACGAGAAAAAGTAAAACAACTTGTTAACTTTAGTATCAAAGTGTAAATTCTCTTTGCTCGCGCCATCATTAGGTCAACAGCTCGTGCTAGCTTTGTGTTTTTATGGAGTTATAGAAACACGATTTTTAACCAATCAGCGCGCGTATTTTCTTAGGACTCTTTTTGTAAATCAACAATAAAGAATATTAAAGAAATGAAGAATGTAATAAACATTATAGTGTGAAAGTGTTTTGAATGTATTTTCTTGTTTTTCTTCTAATTGATCAGTGACGGCTTTGAAGTGTTATATATGCAGTGGCACTGAAGATGACTGTAAAAAGAGCACTCTGGAAGGCGACAAAGGCAAGTATTTGATAGACTGCGGTTCGTCATCTGACAAATGTATGAGGAGTTTTCGCAAGAAGGATAGCGCGACCTTGGTGTCCGGCGAACTCCTGTACTAACCAGGTGGGCTGTAATACGGCGATAATCGGCTGTGGTGAGTATAACGGCGTGACTTGCAAGGTTAGCTGCTGCGACGAGGACGAATGCAACGTGGGCTCACATGTCTCCTTCAACGTCATCCTGTTGACTGCATGCTCTGCCCTGGGTCTGGCACCACAGGTGTAAGCCACGGACCAAGCCTTTTTGCTGTTTGGCGTATTCACTGCCTTATTGATTACATAGACTCAATGCAACTCTTAGATGTTGTACCAGAACTGCATTTTGTTCAGGAAAAAATTTCAGTCCAGGAAAGTTGTTAAACTTTTTTTTTAACTGTTGCATTTCAATGAGCGTTTTCAATGAAAGACGAAAGGCTATGCGCATTTCCTAGGGTTCTGGTTTTAAGAGATTTAAATCAACTGAATTTTTTGAGGACTAATCATATATTTGTAAAACCTGATGAATTTTTTACCGTGTCGATAGAATGATCTAAGATTAAAGATTACAGATTAAAGAAAGATTGACTGACCGGAGTTCATTAATTACTTATTAAACGATAGTGAGGTCTTCAATGGAAAATCCAGTCAAACCAAGACCTTGCCGTATTGTGGGAGCGATAGCGATGTCAATACGGCAAGGCCGAGGTTTAAGATTTTCCCGTAAAGACCGAACGTTCGAGGTAAATAAGTTGTTTATTACATGACTTTTTGCTTTGTTTCTGCAGGGAGAATAATGCCCTAGTACAAGAGACTAGAATTAGCCTAGAATTAGCCAATCAGGGAAGCTTTATATCGGCTGCAAACACAAGCCATACAATAAGAGCAGTTAATGAGTTTTCAGTCCATCCGTGGTTACCGTTCAACACTGACAGAAAAGAAAAGAGGCGCTTTTTTGCCGAATAACAATACATCATGACCCTAACTAGGACTCGAGCACAAACCTCGCTATTTCGAGTGTAAAACGGGGTTTTCATGGCAGCCAAGACAGGGGGAAACTTTTCAGAATTGTTTGGGAATTTTAATGTGCCAATTGTGGGAACCCGGGTAGGGCGGTCTGTATTCAAGCTATGGCTGCTTTATGCAACAGAAACTAGCGATAAGTGCCGGCCTGATGGGTCACTTGGCTCGTATGCAGACTTTGCATTCATTAACCTTGCCTTTTTTAACTTTTTACTTCCTCGCACTGTCGTATACAGAAACGCCGAAGAGCCGTCACACTAACATTTTTCAGAGGTCACCATCATTACCTCATTATCAAAACAAATTCTATGCTATGTTTAAACAGAAATTCCATGTTTCTTTTCATGTCTCTGAAATGGAATTTACATTTAGTTATCAGACTGCGAGGCAATGATGAGGAAGAAGGTCCAGTTGACGTCTTAAGAAATGGTTGATCCACGCTATTTTGTCAATAACATCCGAGTGAAATCCTAGTCCATACTCTACTTGGTAACAGGAGTCCAGTGGACTGATGCTTTTCCTCCCTTTAGGGCTGGAAAATTATGTTTGGTACCGCTGTTCCATTCATCCATTTTTCAAAGTTAAATTTATTTATTTATTTATTTATTTATTTATT